TCTTATAAAAAAATTGACACCTCTCATGAATACCCCCAACCAACACTTGAATTGATTCAAAACAAATTTTTAAGACAGCTGTTGGAATATTCATGGAATGGTTACCAGTAAGGTTACAAGAATGTGCTTACTAGATTTCTACTCACTTGGACATAATATGATAATATTACAAGTATATCAATGGAAGAAATAGTTTTTTTATTATTGTGAAAGAGAAAACAAGTATTATGTAAAGGTATTTATGTAATATACTTGATTGGTTTGTTTTAGATAGAGTTGTTCATGGGTTGGGTTGGATCGGTTTATTGATGTTTTTTCAACTGACCCGATATTGTTAGTTTACCTAGAAATGAAACTGAAACCGATCCAATACTAAGTAAAACCGACTTAATCGGTTTGAGTTGGTTTGGGTCGGTTTTGTGAATGATTCTTTCGGTGTGAACGGTAAAGGATTCAAGTCTAAGAAGTGAAGGCTGGATGCCTGGAAATTAAAAATGATTTGATGGATTAAAGTTGAAGTTTTATATATCAGAAATTTTATATATAATATATATATTTCCGAAATAAAGATGAAATATATATATATATATATCTAAATCGGTTCGATTTCAGTTTTCATTTGTGAAAACCAAAACCAAACTGAACCATTGGTTTATGTTTTTTTGTAACCCGAAATCGACCGATGCTAAAGAAAAACCGGCCAACTTGAATTGGACCAGACCGGGTTGGTCGGTTTGGGTCATGTTATGAACAGCCCTAGTTTCAGATCTATTAGGTCTGCCCTGACCCATTGACAATCCTATAGATTAGAAAAATTCGAGATTATACTACTCTGGTACTCCCTACTGAATTGGTGGACAAAATTGTCCTCGGGATGCAACTAATTGCAATATATCTAGGCTAAAAAAAAAAGGAAGAAAGAAAGAAAATTGCCTCATGAAATACACTCCTGCCTTATAAGAGCAGCTCAAGATGCAAAATTATGACCTTCTTTTAGCTTGCTCTACTTCTTTGGACAAATTTCAATCACAATATTGTTTTTGTTTTTTGTTTGTTTTTTGAAATTGCTAAATCAGCGAAAATCTATAATGCCCAAAAGGACATGGTACCAGAAGAGTTTTGACTAGTCAAAACCTACCCATGAATTTTTTACCCGATTGGTGGTCACAAATTTTTTTTGATACCATGTCTTTCCCATATCATTATTTTTTAAACCATCAAAATAATGACGTAGAATTTAAATAATCCCAGGAACATGATGCTAATTAACCGAGAGGAAAACATATTCTTTAACCAGAAATTCAATAACACATTGTTGGTTTTAGTTTTGGAAAAACACACAATACGGTTGGTTTTGGAACTTGCAACAAGAAAAGCCTGGAATGAGGAAACAACGAAGTAAATTTCAAACTTTTGTGCAGCAGGGTATCAGCAGCTGCCGAGCTTCCTTTGTTGGAAATGTGTTTTCTTTGTTTCTAGTAGCTCAATGCACAGAAGAGAGAGAGAGAGAGTAAACTGAAAAAAAGATTGAGATTTATGTTTTGGAGTCTGAGCTTTTCTTCTCTTTTACTCTTTCTCTCGGATGCGTCGTTATCGCAACAGGTAGTTAACGCATACAAAAGTTAAAACAAGCAGATATAGTGACACCGTGACAGAGACAGAGAGATAAGTTCTGAGATCTCACCTCGGATCAATCCTTTAATTGCAGAGAGATCAACGTGAGCAGGATCCTCAGGATCCACGCCGCATTTCACCTTGTCCGGCAATTTATCAAAGAAGTCGCATCTCAGCGCAGTCGCCACCGAGTTCAGGTGACTCACCGTCCACCTGTTCTCTGGATTTGACCCTTCCATCAATGGAGTCTCTAAATCAGCCTCATCTTCCATTCTCTTCATTCTCTCTCTGATAGACAGCCACTGGACAGTGATCTGAGTTTGGGGGGCATCCTGTGTCAAATCAACCACCAATGTACATTTTTAATGTTTGAGAATGGAATGGATTGAAGTATCGAACATTTGTTGAATTTGGAAAAGGCCCTCTACAGGCCCATACCGACAGCCCACTGCAATGGAAAATCTACAAATCGGGTACTGAAGTTGCACCCTAAACGACCGTTTTTCCTAAGCCATTAAAGCATCACCGGTGTCTCCTAATTGGATTGGGCCCCCAGTTTTTAATGGTTTGATCAGGTTAAGAGACTCATCCACCTGAACCACTTAACTCTTCACCCAACTTTTGTGCTGCTACCTGCTAGTCGAGTTTCCCCATTTTGAAGAATTTCGATTATGTTGGGCTTTGACAAAATTTCAACTCAATTGATATCGCAGTTAAAGAGTATGAAAGAGGGTGTCGATTTTTTTTTTCTGGATTAAAATATCCTTATTTTTTTAAGTTAGTCTCTTTTTAATTGTGAGGAGTGGAAATGTAATTTGTATTACTGTTTTTCGTCTCATTTAATTCCCTCTCATTAAATCTTGTGTGTAAGATATTAATTTCTATTCTTTCTCATTAAATTTTATATTTAAGTAATTCTTTCTCACTAAGAAATTTTGTTATCTTTTAAGATAAATTATTATTTAATATTTTTTTATAATATGAAACTCATGTTTTTAAAGCCGACCCAAAACTGAAATTGTTCTTTCTATCTAGGTGGCAGGTAAGCAATTCAACCATCTAGGTCAAATAAAAACTTAAAAATAGTAATAAATACAAAAAAATTGTAGAAAATTAGGCACATCTATGATATTTGATATTTATCACATTAAAAAAAAAATAAGTGTGATAGGTTTTGAAAATGAATACACAATTTAAAACTAACCAAAAAATGAAATTGTTTCATGTTTAGTGGTAGGCCACCTGTTCAACTTAGGGTCATATGTTTCAACCTTTGATGTTGTAATTAAATAATAAAATAAAAAAAAAGATAAAAATACAAAAAATTGAAAAGATACATAAATTTGACAAAAAAAAACATTTGGACACATTCTATATCCATCATATTAAACAAAAAATGTGATAAATAAGAATTATTTTTATACACATAAATATAATGGATTATTAAAAAAAATTGGACACGTTATTACTATTATTATCATCATCACCTACATTTTCCGTGTGCAAAACATATGCACATTTGCTAGTTTTTATTAAAACAAAACAAAAAAAAAGGACATAATCCTAAAGAACTTGCAAAATGTGGATTGTCTGATTGAGACCACCCAATTGAATCCCCTCATCCCATGACCATGAGGCTCATGTGTCAATTGTTCACCACCACCTTTTATTAATATACTAGAAGAGACCCGTGTACATGGTGAGGTTAAGAAGATGCCCATGTTAAATCCAATTTCTTGATTGAATTGGTTGCAGGTGAGCTTAAATAGGCCCACTTTTAATTCTTATTTTTTAAATTAAAAAAAAACCACAAAATTTTACATGGATTGAGAAACAATACGAGGAATCTGATGTGGACAAATGGGTTTTAAGTATATAGATTCTTTTATAAGGAGCTATTTGTTGACGGTTTAAGTTGTTGAACTGGATTATTTATTGTTTTGTCTTTTAGTGTATAAAATAATAATTAAATAATAAAGTATTAAATGATAAGAATAATTGAAATAAATAATAAAATGTTCAACAGCAGTAATCTACTCAACTCAGCTTCAGCCATAGCCATTAATAAGCCCACAACCTCCTTAGAAACGAAGAAATAAGTTTTTTCGTTCAATCACTAGGGGTGTTTGACAACATGGTTGCTTTTGTTGTTGAAAATAAAAACAACTGCATATCAGCAAAAGCAATGTAGTTTTGCTGATGTGGCAATTGTTTCTGTTTTCAAAATCAAAACCAACCCTGTTGTCAAAGACAACTAACCAGAGACTTTACCAGCAAACTAGCTAAATGCCTTCGTTTGTAGTTGTACAGTTGTGCTTGAAACTATTGAACTATGCTGATGACCCAGTGGTTGAGATGGTCAATCAACACCCCTCCTAGAAAGGAGGCATAGGATCAAACCCATACAACTGTAGGCTCTTCGTGGTAAGGTTAATGGACCTCACATGCACTCTGCTTTGTCCCCACCCCCTGGCTCTCCCTGTAAATGAGGAATGGTTGAGAAGTCCAAATTGAAAAAAAAAAAAAAAGAACTTGGATATTATAGGTTCACAGTCAATGATATTTAGTCAATAGTGGCCCTGCAGATAATTAATGGCCCTACAGACAAATAGTGGACACTGTTTAGTTAATAGTGGTCCTGCAGAGTACAGATAAATAGTCCATAGTAGAAGGAAGCTTCTGAAATGTCATTGTAAGCCAGCATTATTTACCTACCTAGCAATATGAGGTCTCCCTATTTATGAATTAAAAGTATTCATCAACTACTACAATATTCCTCCAGATAGCTCTATTGTAAGGATGTATTCAAGTTTTTTAGGTCATTTTTTCCACACCATTTCATATTATCTCCTATCACTAGAGATGCATTCACCTTGGTTACCATTTTTATTCAAATTTTTGGAAGACTAGAACTGAAGTAATATCTTTTTGTTTCTCAAACATATGACTCCTATAACTTCTCATGTTCTGTGTAAACTATAATCATCAAAACCATGGCATGACAAAAAACCATCAGAGTAAAATTGGCTCTACCTTAATGCTCCATCGAACAAAGTGAACTTGGATGTTTCTTCCATGGCGGAAAAAGTCTGAGCATTAACTTTGATGAGAAATTGGGATGCTTTGTGTAAGAATTGAGTAAAAAAGGTCAATCCCTTAGGGAAGGCTTATATGAATATGATGATTAGATATGCCACTGCAGAAAAATGTCTGGGTTTTCTCTATAAATAATCAAAGCGGACCGCTTCCTTCCAAAATTTTAAACCGGTAGATCAGTTGGTTAGGATAGCCTGATCAGATGATGGATGTCATTGGGTAATGGCACATCTGCGAAGTTGTATTAAGTAAAAGAAGTTGAAACATAGATATTCTTTTTGTACAAATGAGGAAGTACAGCATTATATGGCCCATCATCCAGAAAAGCCATTTATAGAATCACAAGGGAGAATTAAGTTCCTAAAAGTGAATGAATAAGTCAGTGTGAAAATTTACAGATATTGAACCAGAACTGGTTTTCTATCTCAAAATTCTGTTTGATACAAGATCTCCAGACTGATTTGAAGTACAGTAATACAGGCAAAGGTGTAAGTAACAAAGAGAAATCAAAGTTACGTTTGAGAATCTGCTCCTGCTGGTTTTGAGTTTAAAAGTGGTTGAAGAGCCTTGACAACAATTGTCATATTTGGCCTGAAATCTGCTTCATACTGAACACAAAGTGCTGCAACTGCTGCCATCTGATAAACTCAAATATACATGCAAAGTGTAAATTTCTAAGCAAATTAAAGCTAAAGTCATATCTTCTCTATCAGCCACCCACTCAAACTAAAGAGAAAACAGAGAGGACTGCAATAGAACCAAGTTACATTATAATAGATTTAAAGAAAGGCGGAATTCTGTAACCACATTTTGAGTAAAGGACCTTAAAAAAACTGCTTATTGAGAAAAGGGGGCAGAAAGGACCTTAGCAACTGCTTTTGGCGGGTAGTCATTATTTAGTTTAGGATCCACACACTGCTTAACTTTGTCTTCACTCAATCTTGGAGTTGCCTATAGTGTTTTAGACTGCAGTTAGAAATTGCAAACATGAATAGAAGCAACAGTACCTAGAAACCACGGTATCTGGAAAACATACCCAAGTAACAAGGCTCTGTTGTCCTTTTGGCATGGTGTGATCCACTGGCTTTCTCCCTGTTAAAAGCTCTAGAAGAACAACCCCGAAACTGTACACATCACTTTTCAGAGTTAATTGCCCAGTCATTGCATACCTGAACCAAATAAATCATAGATGAAAAGTCACTTAAAGTCATAATTAGAGACCACATAAAAACAAGAGAAGACATCAAGGAAAATGTTGAATCAGCATGCTGACTTGAGAAACCTTAATAAATAATAGTAGCTTTCACATTTTGAGATGAAAACCACATAAAAAATCACTCCGATTGCCTAAAAGTGGAAGCATTTACTTGCTAGTTTCTCAAGCTCTAATTTGTAGGTCGTTATACACTCATCTACCGAATCAATATTTAACCTCTTTTATATCAATTTCCTAGCTTCTATAGGATTTAGGAACACTTCTAACTCATAGTTCTTACCCTATTATCAATTATTTTCTTCATGTGATATGTTATTTGTAACTTGTCTTTTATATGAAACCAAGTTGCAAAGTGTGCAGTTTCAGCTTTTACTGTTGTACACCAATATGCAAGTTGATGTGGTGATCGAGAAAATGAATTACTAAATCCATCAGAAAATTTCAAAAACCCATTCTTGTGCAAAGATAGGGGAATAGTGGATGCTACTTGCTAGGTGACAACAGTAAATTACTCGGGGGCATGATATCCAAAAGTTCCCARGACTCGAGTTGAATGAAGGCGAGCTGCTGTGTCTGGAGACTGATTGGTCAAATTAAAATCGGCGATTTTGGACATGAAATCATCAAATAGAAGAACATTGCTGGATCTGACATCTCGATGGACTATTGGAGGCTGAACCCTTTCATGAAGATATTCAAGACCTCTAGCTGCACCATAAGCAATTTTCACCCGTTGGTTCCAGCTGAGAACTGGACCAGGTTCAGCCCCCTGAACACCTTTCCTCCCTGTGCCAAAAAATGACTAACCACAGTTCAGTTCCCAAAGCATGAACAGTATCATGTAACACATCATGGATACTATAGTAAGAGTTTCTGTGGAAAGGGAAACTCATAAAGAGTACCATGTAACACATCATGTAAAGAACCCTTAGTTGCAAACTGGTATACCAAGATTCGATTGTTTGCCTCCAAACAGTATCCTAGCAACTCCACAAAATGTTCATGCTTAAGTCGTGAAACAGCTGATAACTGCAGCAACCATAAAAAAATAATTACACCATGATAAGATCTTAAACAGTTTGTCACTCATGAAATGTTCTCTGAAAGTCACCTGAGCTGCAAAATCAGAATCTGGCTCTTGTGAAGCACTGGGATCTAACTTCTTTATTGCAGCAGCTTGACCATTACTTAAGGTTGCATGAAATACCCGACCATAAGACCCCTCTCCGATCAAAGCCTTTGTTCCAAAGTTACCAGTCAATTTGTTCAGCTCATCAAGGGATAAGGCTGGTGTTTCAATGGGTAAAACCTTCTGAGGAGCTCCGCTCCTGACAGCACTTGGTCTTGGTTCTGCACTACCACCTCCTAAAATAAATAGGACAAAATGCATCATATTGTAGTAATCTCTACACAAAATGAAGAAAAATTATTGTAGTTATAAAAAGAAAATGATTAAGAATAAAACATTGTGTTGATCTAATGCAATAAATTTTCTTCAGAAATAAAGTTCAGGTCAAAAGCATAGAATAAAGCTTTTCAAGCAATGCCATCAAGCACTGGATGACATTTGAATATGTATTTAGATGACTGTTACCAGAGAAATTATTGCACGAGGTTCTTCTCCCACTTATCCTTAAAGCTTCAAACCTAGTGATAATGAATTTAATACACAATGCTCCATGTTTATCAAGGCAACATTCTTTGTGCTCCACACATGATAAGAAAGCTAACTGTTGTCAAATAAAACCATATAAGGTAATAGTGCTGGTGAAACCCCTTATATTCCATACTAACAGCAAATTATTACATCTACCATCAGTATCCCTAGATTAAAGAAAGGAAAGAAAAACTAACCTCAAAAACATTTAACATTTTCTACTCAATGGGTTCATGTTTGATGACACTGAAAATGCATAATATGTTGTAAAAGATGTTTCCTTGGTTCCCAGAACATCTTTCTATTTTGCATCTGCCCACCAACATCATTGTAGTTGCAATAGTCAATCCAAGAAATTCCATTTATAGAAAATCTAAGTAGTTATAGACTCAAAACAGGACCATCTGATTAGATTATGCTAACAAAATAGAATAATATCCTGACAAGTCATGGAAGAACCAACAAGGTAAATGCTCAAAAGAAAGAATTAACAACATATTGGCCACTTCAATCGGCATGATGGTGATTTAGTGGGTAGAACAATGTAAGATCCATGAATTCAGAAAATAATCATTATTACCAAGAACATTCTTGTTCTTTTCTTTTCTTGTAAAATAGGTTCATATCTAATTACCAAATGAGAAAAGAGGGTACATATTAGACTGCATAATACAAGGGTTAGTCATATTTTACCATATGAATTCCCTCCCCTGGGCGGAGCAGTATACTGATTAGCAGGCGGGCCATAGTTCTCCTCTTCAGCACCTCCGCAGCACAACATGTTGCAGTCTCAGAGAAAACCAAACCCGGATAGTAAACTCAAAATCCCATCTCGAGCAAATGCTCCCAAATTATTTAATCTGAACGAATTCCCCCAATCTGAAAGGATTCAGCCTATGAAAAAATCACATTGTAAGTCAAAAGCCGTCAATGAATTAAAAATCAAATTTATCAACTCCAACCATTCATGATCATAAATGATATTAAACCGTTCAAACAAAATCTAAACCAGCCGAAAACAAAACAAAACGTTGTAACCAGAGCAGCGACTCCAGCAAATCAGGAAACATAAACTTCTTATGAAATGAAAGATGCGGACAACAACGAACTGCCCAAAATAACAGAATTGATTTATGATCCATTTACAAAGGAAGCAGAAATTTGGAAGTTTATCAGAAAAAAATGAAAAAAAAAAGCAAAAAGGAGGAGGATGAATGGGAGGTGGTACAGTACCAGACAGATTGGGATCGGATCAGCACGACGAGAAGGGAGAAGAAGAAGAAGAAAGGAAGGAAGGAATCGGTAAGATAGAGATTAAGGAAGGCGAATTTCATGTTTGATAGGAGGAAAAACCGAAAAGAGAGGTGTGTACATTGTTCTCCATTCCTCTCGTTATTGGGAAAAAGAGAGGTCTACACTATTCGCGGGAAAGTCGTTTTGAGTTCTCAACCGCTAACTAACCTTGCCAGCTCAGCATCCCTCCAGCTCACCTGCTCTTAGTCTCTTACGTGTCTCCACGTTTCATGTCCATTGTGTTAGTTCAATTTCTTTCTCGTCCAAAACATTAATCCGTCTATGTTACCGAAAAAGGCATGATACCTACAAAACTGATAACCAACTTACCAAAATTCAATGGAGGTGTCATTGGTCAAAGCCTCAAAGCCTCAAAGGCCTTACCATATCATACCTTTCCGGCATCATAGAAACTAGCTACTGAAGTTGAATAGAAATTTGGTTATATTTGGCCTAGTAAATTTAGCTTTTGACATCAGTTTTGGGGCACAATCTATGGTGTATCAGTTGCACCATGCAGCAAAAGACATGAAACAATGACAAAAGGACATGTTACTTGATGGTGAATTATTAAATGGGAAAATATACTTTGTAAAACATAAATCAATAGACTATATAGCACCTTTAATATAATTGATTGAGATATTAATTTAATTGCAGCCAATATTAATGAATGCACCATATTCGAATTCCAGTTTTGGTTCAGAACAAACTATGTGTTGTTTGATCTTGGTTTGGTTCTTAACCTATCTAATTGACACCCTTATTTTGTAGTTTTTGTTGGAGAGGTCAAAAGGGATTTATATAAATTTATGAGGAAGGAAATGTGAGATTTAATAGAGAAGGGAGATATTACACACATATTGAGCATGCACCTATATGATGATAATGATAGTAATAGTGTATCCAAATATTTCTATAAAAATGTATTTTTGTTTTTTTATTATTAATCAGAGACAAATTGCAAAATTTAGATCTGATTATATAAACACATCATCTAAATATGTGATAATTGGATCGAGTTATGAAGTTCCAAGTATCATTGACAAACCTACCTACTTGGTTAGATTATTCTTTTTGTAATGTTTTATCTTTTTTATGTATATTTTTTTGTTCATTTATCAAAGAAATGTAAGATGTAAATAGAGAGAATTAAATGAAATAAAAAGTAGTAGGTGAATTTACAATTTAAATCTCACAATTGAATATGAACCAAATTCAAACTTGAGTATTTTAGTCAAAAGAAAGTTCTATAATCATATTCATATTTTTAATAGTAGTATAAATATAAAATTATAGATGTGCTCAATTTTTCTATAATTTTTTTTGTATTTCTGTGTATAAAAATAATTTTGATATGTCACACTTACTTCTTGCTTAATACGATAATTATATGATATTATACATGTGCCTGAATGTTCTTTTGAAAAATTTATGTATTTTTATATTTTATTAATGTTTATTGTCTATTTATGACATTAAATGTTAATACATTTGACCCAAAAGTTGAACTATTGATCTCTGTCATACAATAAAACAATTTCATTTTTGGTTAGTTCTAAATTATATATTTAATTTTCATTATCAATAAAAATAATTCTTATTTATTACACTTATTTTTTTTAATTTGGTTAATAAAAATATTATAAATGTGTTTAAATTTTCTACATTTTTGTAATTTTCTAGATTTATTTTTATTTAAAAAATTCCATTACCTAACTATGACTTCATAGGTTGATCAATTTGATTCAAATAGTTGAATTGCTTAGCCACCACTTTGATAAAGAATGGTTTTTTTTTAGCCAGTTAAAATACATGCGTTTGATATTGTTAAAAATATTGATATGAATCTAATTAGTAGCATTTATTAGTGAAAAATAACTTAAATATAGGATTTAATAAGAGAAAATGAGAATTAATACCTTAAGTTATAAGACTTAATGAGATGAGATTAAATAAGGTGGAAAGTAATAATTGAAATTATATTTTCAAACTCTTACAATTAGAGATTGACTAAATAGACAAATATAGACATTTTAATAGCCATTAAAGCTGGCATTAATACTATAATAAAATTACTTTTATACTCTTTCTCAAACAATGAAATAGAGGATAATTTTGGTCCAAAAAAACTTCCACTTGGCATCCACATATATAGTATAGATTTAGTTTAAAGATAAATAGCCACAATGTGTGAGAAATGAGAGGAAGAAGAGCTCTATGAGCATTGAGGTGAGAGGGCTTTTGGCCTCCCACTTATAGATAAAGATTGCCAAAATTTTAAGCTTACAAAAAATTTTACCAAACTACCATTTCTTTACCATATAATGCCATGGTTGCCTTTGGCATCGCTTCAATAGGAACCATCCTAAAATGTGTTATAAATAACATTTATGTCTTAAGAAGGTATGGCTGCAAATGAGTTGGATCTAAGCCAATTCGAATTTGAATTTGATCTTATATCTCTGTTGAATTTGGATATCCGTTTAGCATAATCAAATTGAATCCAGCCATTTGTGCAAAAAAAAAAGCCAAAGGTTAGGATCTTATCCAATCTACCCCTCCCAAGACCGGAATAGTTGGGACCAACATAGGGTAGTAGMATTCTAATAAAATAAATGACAAAGTCAATAGATTGAATTCAAATCTACATTTGAAAGATCCATCTGATTTCTTATTGAATCAAATCTGATATTATATCCGAATCTGAACTTGATCCGATCTATTTGCAGCCTATAAGTTTGATTAGAAAGGGACCTACCCTTAGGATATTTTCCTATATAAAGTGGCTATTTAAACTTGGAACCTGTGTTCGACTTCACGTTACACTTGTCAGTCAGATATTTTGTCACTGCACCAAGCAATGACCCTTCCTAGTGTAGAATACAAGTGCATGAGAGTGCAAATGAAAAGAATGCAAATTTTGGTCCATTCTTGTCACGGGTTTCACTTGACTTTTGCTTTAGATTTTATTTTAGGGTAAAAGTCTTAAACATACCTTCAATTTATTAACTTAAACATACTATAATGTTTTAAAATAGACTTAAATATACCTTGTAAACTGAACCCACAACTTAAACATACCCTCCATCAATAAAAAGTCACATGTGCACTCATAAAAAATTGTATAATCCTATTTCACGCTTTCAGTGACTCTGGATCACCTGCCCATAAGAACTCTGTCCACGTCTACTCACAATACACTACCCCTATGAATTTGGAACATCTCCTCCTGCATAATACCATGTAAGAGGATGAGATGTTCTCTATGTGTGGCTGTGATATTATGTAGGTAGACGTGAACAGGTCATCCGGACTCGCATTCAGCTCAGGCAACTCAGAGTTGTCAAGAGTAGTCCCCGGCCAAAGGAACAAAATGCAAGGCAAAGCAATTCCAAAAAGCAAGGTAAAGGTAATGGTGATGAGTTTTTCTTCAGCACACCTGACGAGAGCCCATATAACTTTGTTAGTTCGTTATCCATGCAAAATGAGGCCATTGAAGAAGCATCTTAGTACAAAACAGAATTTCCACAATTTGCATCACTTTGTGGCAAGACAGAAGTCACATGGTGCATTTTGGTCCGAACTTAGATTTGTTCACYAGATCTTTTTTCTTCTTGTTGTGTTTTGGTTCGAACTTAGATTTGTTCACCAAATTTTTTTCTTCTAATTTTTTATATTTGGATTGTCAGAAGAAAGAGGTGTTTGAGTTAGAGTTAATATTATTTCTTCTAGTTGCTAATTGTTGTTTCACATGTCTCATGCACCCAATTTTCTTCGGTTTATGGTGCACGAAATTAATTAATACAGTTTCAAAGGCAATGCATTTTGGTTCAACATTTAGGCTGCATTTGGAAAAGATGCAAATATGTAGAGTGTAAAACGGTTCATATAAATTGCAAAGTTATGTTAGTTTTTTACATTGACAAATTTACCTTCTTACTAAGTAAACTTTTAGCTGTAATAGATGCAAACACGAATTCCAATAAAACATATGTTTTTTATCAAAAGCCCACTTGAATGCAAATTTACTTCTTTGTTATTGATGTACTTTTACATCTTATTATCAATGTAAATATGCAATGGTCGGTCATTTGTCAATGCAAAATTATAATGTTGTCAAACATGGGTAAAAGTGAACCAGAATGCAAATTTACCCTGAACCGGGATTTACACTCCATTTACATCATTTCCAAACGTAGCCTTAGGCTCAGTTTGGAAGGAGTACAAATGCAAATATGCAGAGTGCAAAATCTTTTATTTTGTATGTACATATTTGCATTTGTATTCCTTCCAAACCGAGCCTTATGTTCAATTGCTTTGGGATGGGAAGCTTGGATCTTAGGTAGACGAAAGAAATTCTTACATAACCAAGGAGAAGCTACTGCTATTTTACTTTGATTTGCCAACTAGCAGTTGTATTTTGACAGAACCCTATATTGTCATGTTTAAATATCCTTTGTTAGATTCGGTCTTTTGGGATGAATCACTAGTTTTTACTCTTTTGGTTTAGCAAGCAAAATAAAATAGTGAACACATAATATTGTCTTTTGTTTGGTTTCTTTTGAAATCAAGAAAGGAAATGAAGGGCAAAAGAGTTGGAAGGAATGTCTAAGATCTCTTGAAAAATTCAGGATATATTTAAGTCAATTAATGAAAATTCAAAGTATATTTAAGCCTTTTACCCTTTATTTTGTTTTATCTACTAATAAAATAAGGAAAATGTTGAAACAAAAATAAATCATATTTTGCACTAAAAAAAGGTTGGGCTGTGTTTGTTTATAGTACAAAATAAATAAGAGAGCAGTTTTGCACTATTAAATTTGTCTTGTGAGAGGTGAAATTATGAAAATCCCACGTTCTCTCTCTACATTTTACACTGTTCACCTTTCTTCTACCTTTGGACTTCAGAAACAAATCAGCGGCTGCAAAGTAAGAATCCAAAAGCGAGAATACCTCCTAATGAATACACTGGGAAGTCTGGGATGACCGGATGAGGTTACTTTGCTGCTGCAGATGTAAAAAAAATAGAATCAAAACATAGGCATTTTTGTAATTTTACCCCTTATCATATCATTAGTTTCACCATTCACGTAGTTGGACTTAAGGCTGTGCTTGGAATCGGTGTAATCAAGAAGGGTGTAAAACTTTACACCATTTCGATTTTGTCTATGTTTGGAAGAAGAGTGTAATCATGATTGACATAAAACTCCACTTTGGTTCAATTTTGCATACATTTGAATGGAGTGGAGTTATATGTCGATAATCGATGTAAAACCTATCAAACGTAAAGTTTTACATTAATTATCGATCTAAATATCACATCGATTTTATCGATGTAAAACTTTACACTATTCACCCATCGCATTTTTCAAAAAGCAATGGTCACTTCTACGGTCCAGTGCACATTTTACACTGATTCCAAATGCAGCCTAAATGTATATTTATGGAAGTTTAAGTATTGAAGTGGCACACTTGAAAGTTTAGGATCTAGTGAGACTACCCCAAAAATATAGGGTACCTATTTGCAATTTACCCAAACTTTTACCAACTTTGGTGCAAAGTTTGTTTTTCACTTATGGAAGCCAAATTTGCTCTCATTTCAAATGCAAGAAGGGTGAAAAACAATTTTATTTTCATTTTCAACACAAAATGCATTCTAACCAAATACATGCAAAACCAAACCAAAGTATAACTTAAATGTATATTTTTGGAAGTTTAAGTATTAAAATGGCAGACTTGAAAGTTTAGGTATTAAAGTGGCAGACTTGAAAGTTTAGGCTCTAGTGAGACTACCCCAAAAGTATAGGGTATCTATTTGCAATTTACCCAAACTTTTACCAACTTCTGGTGCAAAGTTTGTTTTTCACTTCTAAAAGCAAACTTTTCTCTCATTTCAAATGCTAGAAGGGTGAAAAACAATTTTATTTTCATTTTCAGTACAAAATGCATTCTTACCAAATATTTTTGTTTTGTTTTCATTTTCATTTCGATTCTGCATTTGCACTTTTACCAAACGAAGCCATACACTCTCATACTTTTGTACCAAAGCAAATAAATTTGCATCGCAAAAAAACCAAACTTTAAGGTGTACAAAGAGGAATAAACCGTGGGGCATTTTTTGGAACCAAATCGGTACTACCGGTTTTTGGAAAACTGGTAATAAAAGCTGAACCGAAGCTAGTCGGTTAACCGGTTGACCGATTCGGTTAACCATCGGTTTTTCAGTTTTTTAATTTTTACAATATATATTATAAAAATATATAAAAATATATATAAAGCATTATATTTTAAATAATAAATAGCATATCATATATTATAAATATATATTTATATATAATGCATATTTATTAATTTATAATATATAAAAAATATAATATACATAAATATATAAAATATATAGAATTATATGTATACTGATCGGTTCGGTTAACCRCTGGTTTTCTATATTGGTTAACCGAAATCCAACCGGTACCTTCGGTTTTTTAAAAACACCAAACTGACTAGTTTGGTTAACCAATTTTTCAGTTCGATTTTGATCGGTTTGGTTTTTCGATTTTTTTGCTCACCCCTAGTTGTCCCCGTTGAAATACAAACAACTCCCCCTAAATTGCAAAATATTCTTTTATTCTATTTACGTTTCAAAAATACTTTTGTATAATAGATATCACCAATTATCATATATAGGATTTGAACATCTAATTTTGGCATCTATTTATGCATAAATAAGATCAAATCTCTAAAAATCAATCTTTTCTTCATAGAAAATGGCTTTTTCCTTTACAATTTTATCTAGACAAAATTTAAATATGCAATTCGCAAAGTATTTTTAAATCAGAGTTAAGACGTTCAGATAAGTATATAGGCGATATCTATGATGCTGGGAAGGAATGATACGGGAAGAACTTTGACCAATCAGAACACTGAAAACCCTTGTGAATTTGTTTCAATCAAAGTAATGGAACCTCGCCACCTACCGTGTAAACAATCGAAAGTTTAAAAAGTTTTAAGTAATTTTAGCTGGTTAATGGAAGTGACTTAGGGGCCGTTTGACAATTGCTGAAATGGCTGAACTGAAAAGTTTATTACTTTGTCATTTAGTGAAAAATCTTTTCTGATGACCGAAGCTGAAATTGGGTAGATTACTATATCCTTTAATATTTTATTATTTAATTATTTTATCCACTAAAATACAAAGCAATAAGTTGTTCAATTCAACAACTTAGGTGTTATCAAACAGCCCCTTAGCCAACTTGACTTAGCTTGTTTCATATGATTTCATCCTAAGGTGTTAACTACTCTATAAAGAGCTGGTTTATATCACATGCTGGTTATAACACATGCTCCTTCTGTAAAAATAAATTGAATTCAGTTTTGGAGATTTACCCATGATTTTTTTTTTTCCATTGGACAATTAGTTTGCTTGCCAAGATGTGCAGATTTCCAAGTAAATTTGCAATGTAACCCTGGGCCTCAACTTCCTGGCTGAGCTCCATTACCATCTAAACAATACATGCTAATATATTGTGGTGTACCATAAAGAGTATAAGTTTGTCTTTTCCCCATCTCTGTGAGTATGAACATCATCATCTTTTCTTTAAGCCATGTTCAACGCAGAGGAAGATATTATGCATCTATGATTATGATCATGTTAGCTCATGGGAGAAAGCAGATTAGAAARTCAAGCTTCACATCATATGCAGTCTATTCCCTTGCTCGCAGCACATTGTATGTTCAATAAAACATCTAGTTGTGCCCTTAGAAGTACAAAGATTTGTTGCCCTCTATATCCTTTTAATCTAAAGAAATAGAATCAAGTTACCATTCTGATACATGATTGAATGAACTTTAGCCAATGTGTACACCTGATACCTATCATCATCATCTTAAATATTAAATCCCAATTGATCATAAACAACGTGCTATACTGCCATATGTAGACCTCTCCCTTACTGATCAAGTTTGCCCATTGGAGTGCACTTCCTGGACTTGAAATTTGCATTTGCGGGAGGCACACAGCGGCACACTGAATTGGCCATGACCCACCATTGGTGAAGAAGAGCAAAGCATATTTAACTGTGGATTCAAGCTCCCTGATAATCAAGTTTGCCCTTAGACAGCGGCCATCGCAGCCTTGCAATCCTTTACTTGGGAGATAATCAAATATTCAAATTCATTGGACAGGTGAATTTCAATGGCAGAAATATATGGGCATATTGAAGTCAAGGGTAAAACCACAAAAGCATGGTTGACTGACATATCCAAGCCATTGGCTATTAGATCACATTGACAATATGAAGTTGCTTTTGTACAAAAAACTTGAGAATGCCATCCTTAAGATTTCATCCTTGATGAAAACTCCATATTCCATTCTCTATTCTATTTAGACTGGAAATTAACCTGTAGAATATACATGTTATATTTCTAAAACAGTGGACTTATGTAGAGGCTGCAATATTTTCCTTTTGCCTTCATATCTGTAACCATTTTTATCTTCTCCTTGTTTTCCTTTTCCTGTTCCTCCATCTCAGGAAGTCCCTCAGTGCCTAAATGTCAGATCAGGGTGGTCTGAGAGTGCTCTTAGGGGCACTTATCCAGGGACTACCAGCAATGGCAAACCTCCACAATGCACTAACATGCTCAGGTGCAGCATATTCAATACCAACACGAGGACCAATCAGTATGTTCTCTGGTTCGGGTCCATCTAAAACTTCTAAACCGCCTGGCCAAGCATAGTTGTCAGAAACTTTTAATCCTGTCCAAAGTAGCAGACAAAAAAAGCATGGGAATATTACCTGGAGTGTACAAGGGATGACTTGACCATTCTGTTGAAATTCCCAATGCTTGACCAACCTAGAAATGGAGTTGAGGTCATAAGCAAGTTAGGTTTATTGCCTTAACACAAGGAACTGAAAGGTACATATCAGATGGTAAAAATTCTTGCGCCTCTAGAGAGAATGACCAAGGTTATGTGGACCTTCATTCCAAGGAAAATATTAGAAAACCCATGCAATCAAGGTACAGTGTGTAAATAGACCATTATGATGGCGTGAAACAGGGGGGAAATCATATAAAGGAGGTTGAAGCAACAAAAGATATGAACCACTGTTTTGCAATCTAAGCCCATGAATTGGGCTGCTATTTATCTGGGAGGAACTAATAACCTCAATTGGTTGGCGCTTCTAATTGCGACTGTTGCATCATATGCTCAGTTCTAGACTGCCAACTCAGAGAAAGCAATTAAATTCACAATGCACTTATACAAAGCAGCCAGGCCATTACAAGTGACCCTTTTGCTTGTACCAAAACTAAAATATTTTCTTTTTGAAGTATAGAGAGGTAATTCTTTTTTTCTTCGACAAATAGTATAGAGAGGTAGTTGTAGGCACAAAATCTGTAACTAGCAATTTTAAACCTATAAGCAGTGTTGGTAATATTGAGCAAACAACATGCAGGGAAATGCCTTCACTATTTTGAAAAAAGCAGAAAGGCGAAAAAAGGATGCATATCTTTCTACAAATTAGAGACTGCAAAAGTGAATAAGCAGATTCCATATGTTATGAGGAGAATGACAAGCTTTGGTAACCAAATCCACTCAGAACCACATAAAAGAAATCCTAAAAAAGTCTGCATATTCTTCTTTGAAAAGGAAATATTATATCAGAGGCCAATGTGGCAAGGAATAAAACGATTAGCTTCCAAAACCAACTCCTCTCAAAGTCAAACCACATAAGTGGAATTCTATCCTAGCCATGCTAAATAAATTACCCGTAGAAAGTTTCAGCAATATTTTGCAAATGCATTTTTTTTTTATTTTTTATATGTAGCTGTTGGCATGTCCTTCATTGAAGCTTCTCTCAAAGATTTAAAGAACTAAAGTTGATTAAGGGTATCACTGCATTTTAGGAGTTTATTCTTAGTTGTTTACAACAAGGAGTTTAGCAATACTAATTAACATAACGTACAGGTATGGCATTTATTATTGTGGTTACACCAGGCTGAGAACAAGGTTTAAAATTTTGATACGATATGCCCGATACAGGGCGTATCGTATCGTATCTTTTAAAAACCGATACAGAATATGCATGGAAATCGGACGTTTCGTCTTTTTTCATGCGTATCGGACCGTATCGAGGGCATATTGGGGGTGTATCGGGGGCGTATCGGAGGTGTATCAGGGCATATTGGTAGCGCATGACGAAAAAGATACGGCCAAAAACTAAAAAAAATTACAGGGGGAAAGCAAGCATCTTTTCCCTGAAATAAGCCTTCTTTCACCCCCAAATGATTCTAAAACTCCAAACTTCATTCCTAGAGTGCTAGATTTGCAAAATTTTGCAAGAAACAAGTGTGAATAGTTAATTTTTTTTAAAGATTTTTCAAATTTTGAAAAAATACGACAAAATAGGTAAATTTTTTCAATCTTTTATAATATCTTGTGATTTCTTTTTTTTCTTGAATGTTTAAATTTATGTTGATCTACATTTCTTACATTCAAAATCACGATTTTTTGTGCCATCAATAGATTTATGAAAATTTCATGAAAATATTTGGGGAAAATATAAATTAACAAAAAATTTGAAAATGTAAGTTTTTTCTCTGCCTATAAAGACTGAATATGTTTTAGATCTATGGGTTTATCTATCATATCCATAGAGCAATTGAAATTTCTTCTTTAACATTCTTTTTTTTTATTTTTTGTATTTTTAGAATTAAAAAAACAAATAATAATTAATTATATTTTATCATTTGATCATAACAATTGAAAATGATCTATCATATCCATAGACCAATTGAAATTTCTTCTTTAATAATTATTTTTTTATTTTTTTAGAATTAAAAAATAATAATTAATTAATTATATTTTATCATTTGATCACAATGATTGAATATATTATAATTCTATGGATGATCTATCATATCCACAATTGAAATTTCTTCTTTAATAACTATTTTTTGAATATATTATATAATGTTTATTTATTTCTTATAATTTTTGGAAATAAATAATAAATAATAATTGTTTAAACAATAAATAATTATTAATTATATTTTCACATAGAAGTTGTGCCGATGCATGTTTTATGGTTGGATAGGAGAGTTTGGTTTTTCTCATCCATAAAACATTAAAACTTAAGAATTATAATTTATAAATTATAGTTAAGCATAAGATTTTTAATGAAATTATAATTAGCTATAATATATTTCTTCATAAAACCATAAAATATATTAATTTAATGTATATACACCTCATTGAGGTCTTATATTTAGTGTTGTTGATGTATTTTTATGATTTATTAAAGTATTTATAGTGTTTCCAAGCGTATCTATGCGTATCTTAGTTTTTCTCCAATACGCATGTGTATCCCGATATGTATCTTAAAATTGTCTTTCCGATATACTTGGTGTTTCCGATACTTTGAACGTTGGCTGAGAAGATCTAGAAAGAGCTGTATGAGGGAACACCATGAAACTGGATTAAAGTAGTCAGGAATAGTTGAAGACTTGCAGTTTAATGATGGAAATGGTTTTTGTCTCTTTGATGGGGTGGAATGACAAACAGGATAAGTGTAACCAACTCTATATAGTTGTATCAAGACTGTCGATTCAGATGACTAGTATAGTCCTACATTGTAAGAGTCAATTCCATAATCTAAAGGAATTTGTTTCAGTCAATTCTGTAGCTTCAGATTTCACATTGTACTATTTGGATATCTCCCCTTTCCCTAGAATGAAGATTAATCTCTTCAGAGAAATGGCACAGATCAGAACTTCATCCGTTAACTCTTGCAGCAAACTTTCTAAATTCAGCACTTAAATAGAACAAGAAATAATGGGTCAGATATCAAAACTGACCTTCCCTGGCCCAGTGAGAAGAACAGGTTTATCAGTCTTCTGTCCTCGTCTCTGCTGAATCGTATCTAACCCTGTTGTTATGCATAAAGAGATCAGAAAAGACACATTTCACATAAAAGGCTAGCATCTAACCTAAACTATTAACCAACTGCCAGGCCCCAACAGAGTGGAAACCCCAATTAACTAACAATGAAAACCAAGGAAAAAGCAGGTTCTCCTGTGAGCTATGTGGAAAAAAATAGAAATAATATAAACTTCCAGAAGATCGTACTAAAATGCACATACCATAGAGCATGCTCAGAGAATGTTCACTGAATTCATAAGGGTTAAACATAATCTCAGTCATCCTCCAGAGCGCAAAAAAGGACAAAAAATAGAGTTGTAATGCTTTGATGGAAACCAGCAACAAATAGTTGTTTATAAATCTCAGTCACCAGAGGGGAGAAAGAACCAAAAGAATACACTAACCATGTTTGGTTTATAAGTTTTCAAAAAAAAAATTACAAAAGATTAAAATACCCACCATGTGCCTTGCATGTGGAGTTTAACAAACAGTTGTTTATAAAAGGGCTCATCAGACAAGATCCTAGAATCTTTAAATTAGCAGATATTAGCTAAAACCATAACTTAATGGCTGTAGGCTGCAATTATGAATAAAAAAAGGAAGAATGCATTATTGTTCTCCATAGTCCATATGCAATAGAAGATATCCCCTAAGAATTTTTCTGTCAGAGACTGTATGGAGTTGTTAGAATATCAAGCTATGGTAGTGATTACCATGGATGATATCCCAAGTGCATGGCTAAGTTGCAAACAATAAACTTATTTTGTTGTTAAAAGGGGTCCTCTTTTTTCTTACAATAAGGCAAAGAAACGATGAGAGGATGAGATATTACCGCTTACAGGAGCGCAAGATCGTATTAACACCGCAGCGCCTACTCCTTCCTTGTCTGCTACAACATTAAGCATTGTATGGAGACCATAGCAAAGATAAACATAGGCATGCCCTCCTGGTCCAAACTAAACCCAGACGACTAAGATATAACCAAAGCTTCATGTATGTGTAGCTATAATCAAATTAATGAAATTAGCCATTAAAAAGCAGCACTACATCGTTGCAGAAAATTAGAATGCAACACTTAATAGAGAAGGAAACCAGAAACAAAAAGGAGGAAGTTAGCTTACAACTGGAGCTGTTCTTGCTGTAATACCGAATCGGCCGTGACAAGCCGTGTCATTTGGTCTATAAGCCTCCACCTGTCAACAGTCATTCGGTCTTCAAGATCTATGATCATTCAATTTTTCATCCCTGCAATCAATTCTAACTAGGGTTTCTCGATTTTGCTAGTACCTGGAAATAAAAAAATATATATTATTTCTTTTACCTCCGTAATCTGAAGAACGACGTCATCTCGCCGGAGGAACTTTCCGAGGAGACGGGGCGCGAGGTCTAGGGCGTCGATTTGGAAGAAATCAGGACTCAGGATAGAGGAGCTGCGGAAGGTGAGATGTGAGTTTGCAACTGGGAAATGAAGATTTTTGGGTAGGGGTTGGGCTCTGATCGCCGTGGTGATTTTTGAACGCGTAAGCTTCGGTGCATCGTCTTCGCTCTCCTTCGATCGAGTCGTCTTCTTCGCCCGGATGGTGCGTTTGAACAGTTGAGTTCTCTTCATTTCAACTTCGCAACAAGATTTCGCAGTTGGGGGAGAAGAGCCGGAGGAAGGGACATTGGTGGCTGTTAGACTTTGCGCCTGTGCAGAATTTGGCGGGAATCGCATCAGAGCTATCGATCCGTCTCCTTTTCTGAAGAAACATTAATCGAACCACTTTCGCTACGACATGGTTTTAGCCTTGGGCTGATCGCAGCCTTCGATGGTGCGTTTGAACAATTAAACCATACGGCTCATAAAATAATGAACTTTGAGAGCTGAATCGTCCCATTCTTGTCTCCTTCATTTTTTATTTAGAATAAATTACAAAGACCCCCTCTCGTACGGGGTCACAAAGACCACTATAATTTAACTGACTATATGAAAATTGATTAATGCTATCCTCACTATTTCTTAAAATTGATTAATACTTCTTACCATTAGTGTCCGTTAATAAAAAGACAAAAAAGATTATTTTATCCTTTATTTTTCTTCAAATTTTCAAAATAAAACAAAAAAAAGGAACAATCTTGCTACCCATCTACAACAATTCCAACAATATAGATATGATAATTTGAATCCACCACCTTTCATATATACAAAAATCTTTGGTTACTAACCAAACGAACCCAGAAGCGGTTTTCAAAGCAAGATATTTAATTAAAAAGCTAAAAATGCAAAGATGGAGTAGTGAAGCTCGTCTCCAAACAATTCCGGCGGCAAAACACACAACTTGTCTCTGCATCCTATAGCATCTTCCTTTCCCACCGATGATTGTGAATCAGGGATCGAGATGGGTCTTAAAGGTTTCATTGAAAGAGGCATCGCCTTGATTGTTGTCGGTTGTTCCACCCACCCACTTGACCTCATCAAGGTCCAGATGCATCAGCAAGGTGAAACCCACATCCCAGGTCTAGCCACTCAAACTCCACCCCATGTTTGCTTTCAACACCCCCTCCGTGGTTGTTACTGCTAATGCTGCCTAAACTGCCATCCACACCACCACCACCTCCAGCACTATGCATCGATCCCATTTTTGTTGAGATTAAATCCACCACCACTAGATTAACAGAACCTACCATCCAGAAAAACCCAGAAACGGGGTAGGGTCCATGGTAAGGAACTTATCCTCCAACACATTTTTCTTCTCTCTATATTATAGAACGAAGAGGGGAAGGGGGCAGATGAAGAAGAAGATCATCGCCACTACCGGAAGTTGCAACAACGGCGTCGATCGAGAAATAGACTGAGGAGAGGAGAAGAGGGTGGAGGCAGCGGTGGTGGCGATTTTGTCGAGTGAAAAATAGATAGAAAAGGGGGTCAGGAAGAAGAAGATCATCACCRCTGCTGGAAGTTGTAGTGGCAGCGACGACTTTGGTCAATCCAAAAWCGGGAGATAGAAAGAGAGAGAGAACAAGCGACTGTTGGACTCCTTTGGTTCCCTCTGTTGCTATTGTTTCTTTTCCATTCTAGAAAGAGAACAGGCGAGAGAGAAGATTGATTCCTATAAGTGATGGATATTGGTGATAGAGAAGGTCTGTTACATCGATGGAGAATAGGGAAAACAATAAAAGAACATAAATAAATAAATAAAATGGAAAATTCCATATTAGTATCATATACTTTGGGTTTAGTGTCACTTTGGTCTCAAACTTTAAAACATGCCAATCCAGACCTAAACTTCCAAAGTGGTATGTAAAATGACACAAATACCCTTTGAGTGTCATCTAATTTTCTTTATCAACCATCCAAATCAGAACCAACTGTCAATTTTTTATCTCTTTTAATTTTTCCCTCTAAAATCAAATCCTCGTCTTCGCAGTCAGTTTCTGCATCTCCTCTCAGCAGTTTCTTCACCTTTGGTCTTCATCCACTGATTTCTTTGGACAATCATCAATCCCTTCTTGGTATGCCAACAAACGGATTTTTTTTTATCCAGCAACATATAATGATTACTAGATTCCAAGAATACAAGTTGATTCACATATGCTCTAACCTTTATAGACTCTAGGTCTCGTTTACTTATTCACATATGCAAAATACGAAGCTCCTATCCCATGGCATATTTGTGTCTAGGAACGGGCAGTTGCGCTTCATACTTTGCTCTGTCAATCTTGTACATGTGGGCAATATCAGGAACCAAGGGATTGTCTAGGTTTGGATCAACTAGCAGAGAGGCGAGAGCAAATTGACAGCAACACCTTAGATATTTTAAGGGAAAGACTCCATTTCTCTTTCAGAATGTCAATACAGATACTCTCATTGTTGTTGGTGTTGGGATGGAAAACTTTGGTGTGGAAAGAAACCTTTGGCGGCATGAATGGGTAATCTAGTGGAAAATGAATTGTTACTAGAAACACACCACCAGCAAAAGGCTTGTCCGATGATTGTTGCTTGCTGGTGGAACATGTCTTCTGCCACAGGACCAGCACTACAAGAAGTGGGAGGATCTTTTTGCAGATCCTTTAGCCCCTTTTGAGTTTGTTTTGAAGCCATCGATGATTATAAAATGTCCAAAGAAAGAAACAAGGTTAACATTAAGTGGAGAGAATTTTAGCACACACTAGGGTTCTTCCCTTTTTCCTGTTTATCAGTGCTTTGTTCTCCTCATGAGGGTTTATATGGAGAGAACAAGTGCATTGCTGCTGCTAGGGTTTATATGGAGAGATCAAGTGGAGTATCCAATAGTTTTCCAGAACTTAAATTAAGAGTTGCTCCAGGAATCCACCTTGATTTCATGAGGGAGGGAGTAGAAATCTACACCAAGTTTGGACATTTGTTTGGAATCTACACCTTTTTTTTTCTTCTCTGCTTTTTCATTTGAATGTTGCAGATGCCCAAAACTTACCTTTGTTTCATCTTCTTGAGGAACAAGATGATGAATAGTGTTTTATTTTCAAGAGTAATTTTAACATTTTCCAAAGTCTAAAGTCACACATGATGTCATGCGATACACATAACTAACGGTAGGTACTAAATTGGCATTTTTTGGAAAATTAGATATTGGATTAGCACGTTTTAAAGTTTGGGGACCAAAGTGACACTAGGCCCAAAATACAATGTATTAATCTAGAACTTTCCCTAAATAAAATGAAGGAGAAGAAGGAAGATAGATATGGCTCGAAAATGAAATCACCCCTATTGCTAGGAGTTGTAGTGGTGGTAATGAGAAAATGGAGAGAATGAGAACATTGAGAGAGGGAGGATGGCTAAGAGAGGGAAGGAGAGAAGAGAAGAGAAAAGAAGGGGAGAGGAGAGGAGAGAGAGAGAGAGAGAGGATGTTACCAATGAAGTTGAAGAATTTTTTTTCCCTTTCTGGCAAGGATCACTGGCGAGAAAGTCAAATTTCTCACTAATTGAGACTTCTCACCAAAGAAAGTCAAATTTTAGTAATTTAACGCCTATTTTCAAATGACTTAATGGCCAAGGGGATATTTATCTCAACATAAAAGTTAAAGGGTGTATTTTGTCACTGACCCTATAGTACAGGAGGTCTTTGTAATTTAACTTTGATTTAATGTCACATAGACGTTTAAATGCTTTCCAACTACGTATATAACGATGTTTGTAACAACCCGTGCATTGCGCTCAGACAAAGGGGTTGGCCTTACTATCTAGTGTCCACTAGACATTGGACACCATCTTGACCACTGCTCAAATAAGTAGCTATTACCCTTAGTAGCTTGGGTTTGATGACTCGAGGGATCACATGGACAAAATTGTAGCTAATTTTGCTTTTTTTTTAAAGGTAAAAGCTAATATATTAATAAAAGGAACAAGATACATATTTCAAAATATCAGATACATCAGGAGGATAAGTATCTAGCAAAAAATGCTCCTGTATGGTAGTTTTAATGCTTGAAATGCTTGAAGTAAGCTGAGAGTTCGGTGAAGAAGATGCAATAGGGACCAATGAAGAGAGGTCTTTCCTTATAATGCTTGAATAGCTATATGAGAATCTAAGCAGACCAAAATGTTCCATTTACTGAGCCGCCGAGCTTGGATGATGCCTTGATATATAGCAAAAAGTTCCACTGCTTCAACTGAATCAAAGATTTTCGACCTCCTGAGATTTGAATACAGTCCAGATGACGATTAAGGAGKATAATACCAAAGCAAAATTCAGTAGAAGAGATCTTCCCTGCATCTGTAAAAAGGATTCCATTTATATGTGATTGCATAGAGAGAGTTAAGGTGAGAGATAAATCCAGCAAGGATCCTTGAAGATTGGGTGAAAATGGAATGCTATTAAGCACAATATTAATTTTGTTTAAAATCCAGTGATTGGAAATAGTAATATCTTTAGATGATTTTTCATTATGCACAAATCAGATATAATATAAGGCAATCGCATACCAACTAATAGTTTTTAGGAAAGCATCTTTTTCAGAAAAAAAATAGTATGAAGATGAATAATACAATTAATCCAGTTGGTGCAATGAGTAGTAGTAAACTTAATATTCCAGGGTGAAGCAAAAAGAATGGATTGAGTGAAAGAACAATCAAGAAAAAGGTGGCCCAAAGTTTCTAGATGATTCTGACAAAAAACACAACTATGGTCTTGATGAGATAAAAAAAATTGTACTTTAACAGGAATAAAATTTTGGACAACTCTCCAAATAAATAACTGATAAYGGGGCGGGCAGGGAAGATAATCCTGTATTAGGTCACTATAGACAGTAGTAGAAGAAAATTTACCCAAAGAATGTTTAGTCCAAACCCAAGAAATAGAGGTGTTGAATGGAAAGATTGGTGTTTGTAGAATAATCTCAACTTGTTTCGTATTAAAATATTCATGTAGAAGGGGGATATTCCAATTATCATGGATGATAATATCATTGAAAGTAAGCTGAGATATAGGAAAAGAGATAGGGTGAGTAATCATTTGAAACTTCTCAGATGTTTGGATCCAGGGTAGATGAGCAATATGTTATGAGGAGAATGTCCGAACTAAGAATCCTATTTCCTAGAGTAGATTCTRAAATTTAGGGGCTATCGATTTCCAGAAACAGAGCTATTTGGTTGGATAGTATAAGGAAAGAGAGAATGAATGGGGAGGTATTTTGATTTCCAGAGTTGGGCCCACAATTTATGTTGCTCATTAAGGTATCTCCAGGCCAATTTTTTGAGTAACACTAGATTGTTCAACTTGATATGTCTAAAACCTAGTCCTCTTGAAGATTTTTAGGAATGGCTAAAGAATTCCAAGAACAACAACAAAAAGGATGGGGGTTGGATTTAGATCTGGCCCACCAAAAGTCTTTAATAATTTGTTCAATAGAGGTCAGAGTTTTTTGGGGTAGTTGTACAACAATCATGGTATGAGTTGGAATAGCTTGAAGAACAGATTGAATGAGAACTCTTTTATCAGCTTGACTATTGACAACAACTTTCCAATTATTAAATTTGGCTTTAAGATTATCCAAAATGTAGGACAATTGGGAGTGTTTATTTCGAACCCAAATTAGAGGTAGGCCAAGATATTTAGAATTCACAGGAAGAATTTGTATATGGAGTTGTCGGCAAATCATTCTTTGGTGTCTAGGATGRATGTTTTTTCTAAAATAAATTCTGGATTTGTCTAAATTAATCAGTTATCCCAAGGAATCCTAGAATTGTTGGAGGATATTTTTAAGGTTGTCTAATTCATCTCGATGTCCACGAAGAAATAAAAGGATGTCAATTGCAAAGAATAAATGGGAAATTGAGAGAGCTCTAGCAAATATTTGGATGCCTTGTAGATGATGATCATGTTCAGCTTTCATAATCATTTGAGTGAGACATTCCATGGCTATAATAAACAAATTTGGGGATAAAGGATCACCCTGTCTTAGTCCTCTAGTGGACAGATTTTTTCCTTCAAARGTACCATTGATTAGAATGGAATAGGAGAYAGTGGAGATGCACTCGAGAATGATGTGACAGAAGTCTCCAGAGAAGCCAAAAGCTTTTAATGCTAAAAGAAGAAAAAACCATTCTAGTCTATCATAGGCTTTTGCCATATCTAACTTGATAGCCACATAGCCTGTACCTCGTTTGTGCTATTTTAAGAAATGGAACATTTCTTGTGCAATAATGGTGTTGTCCATCATCTGACGGCATGGGATAAAAGCAGATTGATTCAGGGAAATACACTTATCCAACACAGTACGAAGTCTAGTAGCTAAGATTTTGGARATGATTTTATAAAGAACATTACATAAACCGATGGGGTGATAATCTTGGTCCTTAGTGCAATTAATCTTTTTTGGAACAAGACAAAGAAAAGTATGATTTAAGCATTTAAGTAACTTTTTGTTATGGAAAAATTATTGCATAAAAGCTACAATTTCGGAGCACATTAACTCCCAATATTGTTTATAGACTAAGGTTGGCATTCCATCTGGCCAAGGAGATTTGAGACTGCCAATACTGAATAAAGTTGTTCTAACTTTATAAGGGATGGCAGTTAAAAAATTATTTTCTTCCACAAAAATGGTAGGAGTAAAAAGTTTTGTCACAAAGTACAAATCAGATTGGGGTTGATGAATAAATAACTTCGAAAAATAAGAGATAAATACATCTAAGATATCTTTATGATCTGTCACCCAAGAATTATGATTATCTTTTACTCATTGGAATTCATTTTTTCTCTGTCGGCATAAAGTATTTTTATGAAAAAAATTTGTGTTATTGTCACCCAACGAGAGCCAAAGTTGTCTGGATCTTTGTTTCCAAAAACTCTCTACTTGTGATTGAATATCATCATACAGTTTATATAGAGATGAGAGTTGTGATTGATTCCAAGGAGTTAATTATTCAACATGGATAATCTGTTATTCCAAATCACTTAACTTATTTTGGGAATCTATGAATTTAAATTTTCTCCAATGAATAAGGTCAAATTTAATTTGATTCATTTTCTGAGACAAGCAATAAGTAACATATCCATTTATTTGTATCTCCCAACCATATTGAATAACTTCACTACAGGAATCATCAGGCAACCACATCTCATAAAATCTAAAGGGTTTTGGAAATTGGTTTTTAGGGGGATAGTGTTCAGGATTAATGGATGATGATCAAAACCCCATTTAGCAAATAAATTAAGAGTTGCATGATCCAGTCTAGAGTAGCTAGAGCTCTACCTAGGGTTGGAGAAATAAATCCAAAATATCTTTTATTGGACCAACTGAGTTTTCCTCCTTGAATGCTAATCTCAATAAGATTGTTGTTTAGAACCATATTACGGTATTGGCTAAACGTGAATCTAGAGGTATGAGTTGATGTTGTAGGGTCAGGAGGCAAGACAAAGTCGACTTCATTAAAATCACCTATGAGTAAGAAAGGTTATAATTGATTAAGATGGGACCATAATTTATTTCTATGTGCTTTAATCGATGGTCCATAAATAAAACCTAACAACCAGTTATCCAAAATAGGAGAAGAGATGTTCAAGAAGATATACCTTGAGTTAACAAAAAACGTAGATACCAGAAAACCTGATTTTCAAAAAGTTCTCTTTCGTTCAACTATGCTTGGAATCCATTTCCTCCCTAGCCATATGCACCCTAGTTGAATTCTAAATGATTTTAAGGCAATTGGTATGAAGAAGGAATTTATTGAAATCAAAAGGCATGCAAAGGCACTAAGAACATGGCATCCGGCCACATATCTAGAACATCTCCTATATTTGTATGTTTATGGGAAGATGCTCCTCATGTATGGCTGGAGAGTTCACATCTGTGCCCCACAAGGGGGCACCCCACAACATCCCACAGCACATTCCCACCGGGTATTGGGAACATCTCCCGATGATGACATCATCGGTTCTGGTACTACCATCGAGAGGTGTTCTCAATACACGACGGGGATGTAATGTGGGACGTCGTGGGAGTTCACATCTCCACCCCACAATGCCGCACAGCACATCCCTGTCATGTATTGGGAACATCTTCCGATGATGATATCACCGGGACTGGTACTATCATCGGGAGATGTTCCCAATACACGACGGGGATGTGTTGTGGGGCGGTTCCTTGTGGGGCAGAGATACGATCTCACGTTGTGGGGCACAGATGTGAACTCATGGCTGGATGTCATTCTCTCAAAGTGTTTGTATATTTTTTGCCTTTAATAGGCCCGGACTCACTCAAAAAACTTTGACCAATCACAAACCCAGATGAATTTTAATTTTAAAGTGATTCATATCATTAGTTGATTGATAACCAATTGAATGATAAGGATCAAGGATGGATGTCTCACATTGGAGCCCGTTTGCACCGCTTGCAACACTTATTAGTAGAGTGGAAGAAAGACAAAGAACATTTTTGACTTGCTGGTGCAACAAGCACAATCTCAAAAGTGACAATAACCCATTAAATCACAAACCCCAAGGCACAAAAAAAGGAATGCTTTTGCTTCAAACAATACCCACCAAGGAATTTTCCAATCTATAAAACCCTTTGGGAGCCACCATTCTCGTTCAAGTATTTCATTGACCATTGTTACTCGCCAGATTGAGAACAAGAGCACAATAACAGAAAACAAAACCTTTCCCATGGATAGAACAGGGACCCGTATGTATGAAGATTTCCAACCCTCCTTGGATTGGAAGAAAGAAGCTGGATCTGAAGTTGCCGTCGTCCGTCTACCTGGTTTGTCTGTTTTTCCATTTCCCTGCCATCAATTGAAATTATGTTTGGATAAGTTTCAGACTTGATGCTTTTAAAGCACAAAACCCTGATTTTATTATTTGGGTTCACCTTTTTATGTTTTTGAAAGCTTAATCCATTTTTCGGAGTGCTTATTTTTAAGCACTTGTTGGGAAAAGGGGCTTTATTTGAGGCTAGATCAACAAGTGCTTATATATATTTGGCAAATTAGTTGAATAAGTGCTTTTTCAGGGAAATAAACTTGTTTTGAATAAACTCGACCTTTTGGTTTTTTAAGTGCTTTTTGATATTGTATTTCTGATCTGTTTTGGTATATCACATCTACCCACATTTGAAATAAAGTACTTTGTCACTAAGCACTCCCAAGTCCCAAACAACATTTTTTTTGGCCCATTTTTATTTTTCACAAAAGCAAAAATTTATCCTAACAATGCCTTAATTTAGTTTAAGTGATTGTAGTTTTACCATGGACATTCTGAACCGTGTCAAGCTATATAGCCAACCCAAACTCATGATACAATAATGTAGTTTCACCATGGATCTCTTACCACAGGACACTACCGCCGTGTATTGGGTACATCTCTTGTCCTGAATAGAGTAGGAGATCTGAGCTCTATATCATGCCTCACAGATCGAAAAAATGGATTCATCTCTTGACCTCTTGCAGGCTTTAAAAAGGAACAACTGAGGGTCCAACTTGCATCCGGAGCCCTGAAGATCTCCGGAGAGCGCCCGATCAACAACAACAGATGGAGCCGTTTCCAGAAGGAGTTCAAACTTCCTCAAAATTGTGAGACCAAAGACATTCGAGCACAATTCGTTGCTGAAGTACTTACCATTGTAATGCCAAAGGCAGTTGCTCCAGCCCAGCCACAATTGCTGCATCCCACAGGTCATAAACCCGAAGCCGGAAGCCCCCCTGCACCCAAAAAGAGTCCGGAAGAAGCAGTGACCCAAAAACCCGAGAGCCCCGAAAAGCGCCCGGAAACACCGAGTCAGAAATCAGCAGTGGAGGCGAAACCCAGCATAGCTGATGATGAAGGAAAGAAGGAGAATGGAAGGCCAAGTGATGATGCTAAGAATGTAGCAGAGAAGACTTCAGAGAAGAAGGGACAGGGTGGTGGGTTTGTTGATGGTGAGAAGGTTTCTGGAGACAAAGGGAAGAATGAAGAAAAAGCAGGAGCAGCCATTAATGGTGAAGCGAGAGCTATGGATGGGTCAAGTGAAACTGCTGCAGCTGGGGATGGTAGCCAAGCTATTGGACAGGATAAACCCAGAAAATTGATTATGAGCTCAGTGGCTGTTGCTGTGGTAGTGATGGCGTTTGTGGCATATTTATTATTTAATATATACACTTGGGTCATCAGGGAAAACTAAGAATTCTCGTTTATAATTCTGTATATTTTTCAAGACAATTCTGTATAAGTTATTTGATCTAATAAAAGGACTTCATAAATCATAATTCTGAATTGTGAAATCCAAAGGGAAAATCTATGATGCAGGAAATATATGAAATGGAAAGAGTTTTGATGAATCAAAATCCACTCATAAATTTTAATAAATAACACCTTATTTATGATTCCAATTGATTGGTCAGACGTTCTTCCAATATCATATCTTTTCAATATCATAGTCGAACACAAATCCAAATGAACACCTAAGATAATAATAATAATGCGGATGACGATGATGAACTTAAGAAATTGGCTTTCTTAATGTTGTGTTAAGTTTGATAGAAAATAAAAGAGAAACATAAATATGAAGGAAAGTTCTTAGCTAATTTCAAATTTTATTAGGACTTGATTATCAAGTAAGGGTTCTAAGACTTGATTATTAAATGGTCTAGAGCCAAAATGCCTAGCCTCGGTTGCCTTGTATGTTAATATGAGGCTTTTTTTTCGGTATTTACACTAGTAAATGACCTCGTAYTAAGTATGGGAAAATCTATCCTTATTAATTGTTTAATATTTTTTCTTTTATCAATGTTTTTATATTTTATTCATTTATTTATTATTTAATTAATTGTCTTTTATTATTTAACCATTTTAACAACTATTGATTCATTTTTTTAATTAATATTTTTTAATCCTTTAACCAATTTTCCTTTTATCAGTTTCTTAGTTTTTAAACATTTGTTTGATTGTTCAATCATTTTCTTTTGAATTGGTCATTTTTAATTACTTAATCAAAATTTAATTTAATTATTCAATATTTTTCTTGTTAATTGATTTTTAATTAGTAATTACTTAATAGTTTTATTATTTAATTATCCATTCTTTAGTGAATAATCAATTTTAATTGTGTAACCATATTGTAGTGCTTTTCTCAATTTATTAATTATTTAATAATGTTTTCAATTATTTAATCATTTTTATTAATAATTGAATTTTTTGTCTTACCAATTTATTAATTATGTAAATGAATTAATTAATTTAATTAAGCTATTTGAATTAAGATAATTAAGTAAATTAGTTAAGAGGCAAAAAATTGAGTGTKTAAGGTCCATTGAGTAGTATCATACATGTTATGTCATTCGAGCATGTGACTCATACAACCCAAAAATGGAACCATTCTGGCCACCGGTTTTCGGGTCGATGATTCAGCCATCCTGTTCGAATGGACGACCCGTTCTGACAACAAAAGTTAAAAAATAAAAAAGAAACAGCCAAAAACCATAGAACGGGTCAATGGGTTGACGGTTCGATCACTCTGGTCAATGGGTCGTTGACCGATTCAGTGGTTTTTGTCCAGGGACCAAGATTGGGGTAAAACGGAACTGGTTGCCTAGACAGTTTCCAATTAAAAAAAAAACAGATGACCCATTCTGACAACAAAAATTACATGCAAAAAATTGAGTGTGTGAGGTTCATTAAGCATTACCATGCGTGTTATGTCCTTCGAGCGTGTGACTTATACAACCTGAAAACGGAACCATTCTGGTCACCAGTTTTTGGGTTAACGATTCGACTGTTCAGTTCAAACAGATGGCCCGTTCTGATACTAAAAATTAAAAAAATAAAAAAAGGACCAAAAACCATTGAACGAGTCAATGGTTCAACTGCCCAAGTCAATGGGTCATTGATCAATTCAACGATTTTTTGCTACGGACCGAGATTAGGATAAAACGGAACCAGTTGCCTAAATGGCAGATTAAAAAAATAAAAAGCAGCCAAAACCATTGAATAGGTCAACGGGTCAATAATTCGATTGCTTAGATCAATGGGTCATTAACTGATTCAATGATTTTTTACCAAAGACCAGGTCAATGGATCAACAGGTCGACGGTTCCATTCCAGCCCCTATGAAGCAGGGCCCCTCCGCTAGTTTGAAATAACGTGGGTTTGAAGGCTTGGAGTATAGGATGCCACATATTTTAACTCAATTTTTTTCAATAATGGGCTTTTTTCTTGAGAGTAGGAATAACCAGTCTTTTGAGATGCTCTTTCTTGAGAAAAAATAAGATGCTATTTGTCTAAGGGAGAACTCTTTTCTAATCAAGTTATTTAAATGAGAAAATGCAGATGATATATGATTGTTTTCAAAGTTCAAGGAGATTTGATTATTTGTTTAATAGCTAATAAAGTAAAACTTTAAACACTATCCGGATCAATTAGAACCAATTTGAACAAATCTAATATTTGTTTTCAAAATATAGGTGTCAATGGACCAGGTTTAGGCTGGAACAAATCTAAATTAAAACCAATTTGAGCATTTTGGGTAGTCTAGACGTTGAGCAGACTGATCCAAAATAGTCCAAGCTGTTCATCGGATTGGATTAGACCTGGTTCATTTGTAAAGGACTCATATTGGTTCAGATCGGATTGGACCACATCTGATCCAATTGCCCTTCCCCCCTCTAGGCTGAACACAAGCAATTTATTGGGAAAATTCCTGACCTAGTACCCTCAACTTTAACGGTTGTCTCTAATCAGTCTCCAAACTTCAAAACATGCCTATGTAGTATCCCAAACTTTCAGAATGTGTCTAATACGTTCGTCAGTTACCTGTATCATGTAATGACATGCACCACTTATAATTTTAAAAATGACAAAACTATCCTTAAAAAAAGATATTGTTCATTATCTTATATCTTTTAAAGAAAACACTATTTATTGTCTTCTTCATTGAAATTAAACGAGAGCAAYGATCAATGGTCTCAACTTTCAAGCACTCTCGAAAAACTTCCTCTCTCTCTCTATTTGTTACATTTTTCGAGATACTGCTGACGGAGGACATGTTGATACACAACAGTGCCTGGCCATGGTAGAAGCTTCGATATGTGGACTCAGTGTTGAAAACCTTAGATATTTAATTTGATTATTAAATTATTCATAGATGACCTCCTAAATCTGTTTAATCCCGTTGAAATCGACAACAACATCCTTGATCTGGATCTTTATCTCCCATTGAGGTGGAAAGCAGAAGTTTCCTGCTTTTTTCGAGTTTTCGGCTTGTTGTTTTATGCTTGATACGTGGATGAGAATCTGGATAAAATCAATTCCGTTTTTAAGAAAAAAATGGTGCTTTTTTGGGAGAATAGTATGGTGAGACCTRAACTGAGACTTTCTAGTTGAGATACTAGGGGTTTTTAGATGACACCTTATGGGTATTTTTAACATTTCCAAAATGAATTGACAGGCTATTAACGCAAGGGACTTATTAGACACATTCTGAAAGTTCGGGGTACTGTATGGACACGTTTTGAAGCTCGGAGACTGACTAGAGACAACCCCTAAAGTTCAGGGTACTGATCCAAAATTTTCCCTAATTTATTTGCTAGGTCTAAGGTATTGGGCCTAGGCCCATCCTTGAAATTTGCTAGCTGGGGCCCAAATTGGGTCTGAACACAAAGCATAAGCCTAAGCCCATAATTTCCATACCATGGCTGACCAAGCTGAAAATGACCACCCCTACTATATAGACAAGCAATTTAAATTTCATTYTGTTTCAATGTATAAATCAAAGTGTAGGGGTTAAAACAACCTGGATACTGGTATTAAATAATCCAGTGCTGCAAATGGATTGAATTTAGCCTCATTAGATTTCAAAATTGATTCATTAGTGTTGGATTTTGATATATGTTTTACTTATACTTGGGTTAAATGGACATGAAATTAAAGTGCGATATTTTTATTAATTTGACCAAATTCAAATATGAGTCATGTTGATGATTCAATTATATACAAACATTAATTCCCTTTTAGAATTTTAACTCATAATGATTTAGGACTGAAATAATTCACCAATGTGAGTTTGTCTTATACTGCCAATCCCAAGATTGCATCCAAAGTGTAGTGTTAAGTGGGCAAGGATTTGCCAGGATGGTCCCCGTAAGTGACCTGCCATGGCAATGCCACCYGATTGTGGTGTYAGATAATCAAGGGTTCCCGCATCCTTCTAGATGGGGCCAGATAAAAAGTAAATAAATAAATAATCCAAAAAATACAACTTCGTTTCACCACTTAGAATGTAGGAATATTAACATGAAATTAGTAGACATAATAAAAAGGAGAAGGGTTAATATTAAGTGTGCATGTGCTTGTATGTAAGGCTGTTAATGGGTAAGATTTGGTCTGGGATGGGGTGTATTAGTCCCATTCCAATTAGCAATTGGTACAAAATATGATACCCAAAATTGAACCAATTATTTATTGGGACAATTGGGTCTAATTGATTATACTTGTCATTTATAATTATCAATATAATAACTACTTATAACCTCATTCTCATAATATAACCTTAATAAAATTGAAAGTAAAATGCTAAATTATTGATAAAATGTACTTTTAATCATGGTTGTTTTATATATTCTTTATGAAATTTACCTTTTTACACATAAAATATAATAAAGACTATAAAAAATTGGAGATTTTTATATATTATTAATTATACAATCGGTTTGAGTCTTGGATTGCCTTCTGCATGTGTTTTGAAGAATGCTTGGCATTACATTATGCCATATAGATACTTAAYACTTTTCATTTCAATTACAAAGCTCTACTTGTATACTATTAAAAAAGCTCTGCTTGTTCAAAATCTTCCTAAACTAGGTTTAAGCAAAAGAAGAGTTTCATCTTACTTTCACTATCCAGAAGCATGTGTCAAGTTGAAAATCTGGCTTTATGTACCATGATTTCACACCAATGTGCTTGGCATAAGAAGCTCTTCGCATCTTGAATACTATACAACTCTACTGCACAAAGGAGAATTGTCTTTAGAGAGCACTAGTGTTCTAAACTTCTTGTGAAGACTGTTCGATTAAGATCTAACTGGAGATTGGGAAGAGAACAAAATCTGTTATTGAACACTTGAACTTGTAATTTTGATTTTTGGGACTTACCCTAGTGCTAGAGTTATGAATCGTAAAAGTTATCTCCATAGTTTTTAAAACCGGATCGAACATGGAACCRTTTTGGGACCAGTTCCTGGGTTGAGCGGTCTGGTCCTTGAGATTCTGGGGCTCCTTTTGCCTGTTGGTGGAAGAGTTTTATTCTTTTTGGGTAGAATAGTTTAGGCTTAAGTATCCCTCCATGGAGGGATCAGACAGGGAGATCCTCTATCTCCCTATATTTTTGTTCTTTGTGTTGAAGCGTTAGCAAAGAAGCTTGAAAAAAAAAATCTCTAGGTGAGAAAAACCAAATTGGTTGTAAGGTTGCCAAAGTCCAAAAATACCAATTTTATAGTTTGTAGATGACTGCTTGATATTCACTAAGACCTCAATTACAGGATGTTTGAAAATAAAAGACATTCTCACTAAATTTGCTGTGTCTTCTGGCCAATGCCCAAACTTTTCAAAATCTATGCTCCAATTTTTGAAAAATACACCAATTAGATTCCAAAAAATCTTAGCAAAAATTTTGAGGATCCCAATCCAAGCAAAGTCTAATATTTATTTGGGAGCCCCCACAATAAATGGTAGGGTTTCAAAGAACACACTCTTGAATCTCAAGGAAAGGGTAAATAATAAACTTGCAAGTTGGAAAAAAAAAACACTTTATCCTTGGCAGGTAGAATGACCCTTCTAAATGCTACAACAAATATGATTTCGCAATTCCTCATGAGTTCTTTCAAGCTTCCTCAAAATATCATAGATGAAATTGATAAAATCCAAAGGAACTTCTTATGGACAAATTCTAGTGAAAAAAAATCGGTTCATTTGATTAGTTGGAACAAAGTGTGTACCCCAAAATGTTGGGGTGGTTTGGGGCTAAAAAACCTTCAATGGGTTAATGAAGCTAACTTAGCAAAGTTGGGTTGGAAAATATTAGTAAAGAGTGATAACCTTTTGGTTAATTAAAGCAAAGTATCTCTAGAAGAAGACTTTTGGAATGTTAAGGAAAAGAAAGGTATATCATGGACTTGGAGAGGTATCCTTAAGGGGAGAGATCTCCTTAAAAAAGGGTTAGGTTGGGAAATAAACAATGACAAATCTATTAAATTTTGGAAAGATATATGGGTAGGCCATGCCTCATTGGACCAAATTATTCCACCTTATAGGATTAAAAATGATAATCTCTTTGTTAGTAAGGTTATTGATCAGAATAGGGGTGTGTGGATATAAAATAGAATTTGTAGTTTGGTTCCTTTGAATACTCGGGGGGAAATAAAATCAATCTTCATCTCCTCAAACCCAAAAGAAGATAAATTAGTTTGGAGACTTAACTGTATTGGGAAATTCTTAATTAAGTCTGCATATAAATTAAAATGTAGCTTGTCTCTTCATGAAGATTTGAACTCAAAGTGGAACTCGATTGTTTGGAAGGTAAATTGTCCCCCCAAATTGAAAACTTTTCTCTATCTCCTTTTAAATAAAAGACTCCCAAAAAAAATTCTCATGCAAAATAGAGGTTTAAGTATGGATGGAAAATGTAATTTTTGTGGAGATAGAAGGATGTGGATCATATTTTTAAGAATTGTATAGTTGCTAATCAAATATGGGATGCAATCAATCCCATTTGGAGGGTCTTACTGGCATTAACTCTTCCTTAGAGGATTGGTGGCTAAAAATTGGTAAGAAAAATTCAAATGGAGGAAACAATGGAAGAGAAAAGTGTGCATTCTTAATTCTTATTATGGTATATCTAGAAAAATAGAAACCAAAAATCTTTTAATAATGTGTCAACCCTTATTCAAGTGGTGATTGAAAGAGCTTTATCGTCCTTTATGGAATATTATGAAACCAATATGAAGCCTAATGGAGTTGGTTCCCATAAGTTGTGGAAGTATGTTGTGTGGCAACCTCCAAAAATTGGTACTATCAAAATAAACTTTAGCGTGTCCTRGCTAAACAATGGGATGTGCTTAGTTGCATCCATAGCTAGGAATTTCATGATTGAGGTGGTAGATTACAAGACTTACCACTATGGTTCTTCGATCATCAACATGGCAGAAGCTTGGGCTGCTTGGGAGGCCTACAACCTAGCAATGAATTTCCCAAACCATTCATTCCATCACCATTGAAGGCTTTGGTCGTGATTTCTTGTTAGAAACGGCTCATCGACCCCCTAGAATCTACAAAACATCATTGAGGAGTAGACCTGTTCATGGGTTGGGCTCGGTCCGGTCTTTTGCTCTTCATTAACATAAATTTTTTCAGGCCCAAGTCCGACCCGACCTGACCAACAAGCCTACAACTTGGGCCCAAGCCCGACCTTCATATAAAGCCTGAAGCTTGAGCCTGAGCCCGAGCCCAAAGCCTGACTTAGGAGTCTAAATGTCGGTGCTTGAGTTCGCCGATTCTTGGGAGTTTGAGAGTGAGAATGAAAACTGAGAAAGTGAGAAGATAGAAGATGAAAATGRTGCCGGCCAGAGAGAGAGAGAGAGATCACCGCCAAAGAGAAAGATGACCTAGTTCTGGTGGCGCCGACCGCCAATGCCTGAGTTCGTAGAGTGAAAATGGTGCGCCTGGGTTCGCTGATTCTGAGAGTCTGAGAGTGAGAAACTGAGAATGATAAGATAAGTGAGAAGATAGAAGGAACTTAGGGTTTAAAGTTTAAACTATATAAAAGTCAGGCTGGGCTTTTTTGAGAAATCCCAAGCCCGGCTTGAAAAAAAATTGAGTCAGGCTTTTAGGCCTGAGGTCAAGCTTGCAGGCTAAAACTCATGCTCAAGCCTGTCCGAGGGTTGGGCCGGGCCATCAGGCTACTTGGTCCATGAACAGGTCTACTGAGGAGTGTATGGATTTGAAGAATCGAGCAAATGAAGATTTGGTCTACAATCACATGTATYGGGAAACTAATCAAGCAGTAGACTGGCTCGCCAATTAAGCATTTTCTTCCAAACAGGGTATAGTAAGTCTCAATCTCAGCGATCTTCCATGGAATTTAGGCTTTGTTTGATAACATTTCTCAGAGGTCTGGTGTCTGAAAAAACTTGCTTTTCAGACACCATACTCATTTRGTGTTGTGTCTGAAAATCAATTTGAAATCTGTTTTCATATCTGAAATTTTAAGTTCGTAGCCTGGCACTTAATGCACTCAGACGTAATTGAGAGGTGCATAAAAGACATAAATTCCCTGAAAGAAATTTTAACATTACATGTTTTTGTCCTTCATGTAACTTGAATTGAACCCTCACTGCGACCTAACGAAGCTCCATCGCCACCACCGTCGTTGCACTCTCCCTGCCACACTATCTCTCTCCTGTATTCCCGCCTTTAGCGGCGGCGATTCCTTCTCTCTCTCTCTCTCTCTCTCTCTTTCTCTCTCTCTTGTCTTCCCATCACCACCACTGCAAGT